GGTAGAATTCTTCTACATAAGTACAATACTATGTCTTTGATGATAAAATACTATGTATTTGATGATAATATATTATGTCTTTGTGCTAGAGCATTGTGTTCATCGGCGAGCGAGCGCAGCGAGCCATGGTTCACGGCGTGAACCACATAGGATTGCGTAGCAATCCTCGGGGATTGGCGAGCGTTAGCGAGCAGGGGGCGGAGCCTCCTAGTTAATTCCTTATTGAGCTTAAATTAAATATTGTCATGTTTTTTAGTGCACGAATCTGAATTGAACAACCTGATTTTGCTCACTCTGGTTATTGTTATCTGGTTGCTCACTACGTGCTCTTGCGCGCCGAATCCAATCAATTAAAAATGAAAACTGTTGCCAGCGCGAGAAAAGAAATATCATCGGTTTTATTGATACATACGTACGTATTAGCTTTTATATAATATAGATAGATATTAAAGTATATGTAATTTACTTTTCAAAATGAATAGAGCTATAAGATGAAAAATTTCACTGCTGTTATCTTCAAGATATTTGAAAACTGAATCGCTTGTAGCAAAATTTAAAACAATGGCTAACTTTTAACCGATCAGAAAATTCCATTTCGATTTTCGCTGATACCGCTGGAACGGTTTGACGCAGAATGTTCTAATGTCGACAGTGACCTTCCTCGTGCTTTGAACTATCTGTATGCCAAGTTTCATAGCTTTCTGTCGGGTGGTTTAGGAGTCTATAAGGGACATACATACAGACATTCATTTTTATATATATAGATTATGGGTACCATTTTGATATTTTCCCCAGTCCCCCCTGAACTGAAGTTCCCCCTCTAATCATTTAAAATCTTTATTGCGGAAGAGATCTATCTAGCATTCATTTACTTCCTCTTTATCCCTGCTTTAGGGTACTTTGCTTTAGCGTAATATTAAAACTGAAATACTTTTCAAACATTGTTTTTTAAATTTCCATTAGACGCAAGTCAAAAACTAAACAACCACACACAATGTAATTCTATAGTTCAAAAAGGAGGTTAAGAATCCAGACAGATTCTTGGAATCTGACGGACCCTTCAGTTAAGAGAAAAATTTCTAAATTTAACTCAATTTCTTTTATGATAATCTGAATTAAAACTTTAATTTTAACTATTGACATTTTAACGTCAAAAACTTTCGATGTAATTTTAAATTTTTTGTTGTAAAACTATGAGTCTGTTATTGCTTAATGTTCTAGAGTTAGCTAATAGGGTGTTTGCCGTCGTGGTAATGAGTTCTTTTTAAAATGCTTGACTTACAAAGATCACGCTCAAGACATTTCATACATTTAAAATTTATTTTATGAAGCCTTCTCAGACTTTATTTAAGGATGAATCAGAAAATTTTACAGAAACTTTCTAAGGCTCAAAAGTGAGAGAAAAAACCCGAAGAACTACAGTCAATATTGAAAAGTGCAAAAGAAAACTATTTTAATAAGTTGTACCCTTCGAATGCATACTGTTAATACAAGGATGACAGATACTGCAGATTCTGCAATTTTTTTTCAAATTTGCTTTGGGTGAAATGGAACATTTTAACATTTTTACAGCTTAAGTTATCACTTATTCTTGAAACAGACAAGTGTATTGCATTTATACTAAAGAGTAGAAGCTGAGACTGTAGTGGAACAAAATAATGCAAGATTTCGATTAAAATTTAAATTTCTTTTTTTATTTTGCGTAAGTATAACAACATTTGTCATTTCAAGTATTTTTTTTACCAAGAGTAACAGTCTTAAGCTGTTGCGTATTGATTTATATTTCAAAATATTGTTTTCCGAATTTGCTGAAAATGTTTCGTTGCTGTGGTTTACCTGAATCTTATCAAAAGTACCCGTTGAATCCATGCGGCTGGCTTCATTCACAGTATTTCCCCAGATGTCATAAACTGGCTTTTTGGCACCAATCACTCCGCCCACCAGGGGGCCGTGGCTGATTCCTGTTGATGATTGAACAACCTTAGGTTAGAAACACCTTTTAATAATACATTTTTAGAATTCTGATTAAAAAGTTATGTGAAAAAAAAAAGAATTCGCAAAACGGGTCACACAATAATAGAAAGGGGGGGGGGATTAAACGTTATCATAGTGTGACGAAATATAATTGTGTTTGGAAATAGTAAATGAGAAACAAAAACCATCAGAAGATATTGCTTCTGTTTAGTGATTTCGCCTTTAGAAGAACCATCTTTAAGCTTGAACCTAAAATAAACCGGTTTCAGGCATATTTAACTCGTTGCAATTAGATTTTTATTTAATGTTATTTAAATTGATGTAAGTACTAAATCATTTCAATTACTTCATAAAATATATTTATAATATAACGAACAATCCTAAAATAATGTGTTCACCAAATATTAAGCTGTAAAATTTTTTAATTTCTTAATAATATCTTTCTTATTTAATAGTTGTGAAATTTCGATGTTTAGTCTGAGGACAGCAAAGGTTAATTATCCCCCTCCGCTCTTATTGATTTTAATATTGATTGATCAAAATGCATAAGCTTTTGTTTCTTTCTGACTTAAAAGGGCGTTATACCGATGGGAAAAACTTTTCATGACACATTCTATTTTATCTCCATTGGTAATTTGAAGTTAAAAGTTCAGAGACAAGTGTGTTCTCTGTCAAACCCAGAGTAAACTATGGGATCTAATTGGCTGAAATTGTTTTTATCAAAATTCAAAAAAATTATGGAAGAATTATTCCCCCTGTGTAATCTTGAGTATTCCTGCCATAATTTAATTGCATTTTGATATTTTGAAAAAAAAATTTACTCTGGTTTTACCTGAACTCTCTTTTCTCTAAATTTTAACCATGAAACAAAAGTCAATGAAGTTGAAAGTTGTCATGAAAAGCTTTTCATTCGGTAATAACGTATTCTTGAATATTGATGGTCGTGAACAGTGCTTTCCCCCCTCTTTTTACAAGAATTCTTTAAAATGCATTGGCATGTTTTTAAGTTAAAATTTTTTTTTCATGGTTGGTTAATATGAGCTCGTGTTATTTACCTATGCGTAACTTGAAGTTGTTGAAAGAATGCTTGTTAAGTTCGTCGAGTGCTTCACGCATAGAAAAAGCGAAGTCCACCAACGCCGTCAGGTGACCCCACTCCTCCGGACCCTGAAATGAAAACTCTTTTAGTTAGACTGGATGGCAAGAAAAAAGATGCAGCTAAATGCTCGGTATAACGAAATTCCGCATAAAATACTCTCGATATCTCGAAAGCCTTCTTATGTCAAAACAATATTTTCCCCTTGGCTATACGTAATGTTAATTTGAATTCCTATGTCGAAGAGTTTCTTCTCGAAACATTGCTATGTTAAAGTGTTTTTTCGAAATAGAAAATGAAATTTTTTGGAAAAATCACAATGTAAGTTCATTGTAAAACAATTATTTTCTATTCAATGCATCATTCATTTTGTACGTCCTTACCTTTTAAAATTAACTTTAAATACAAAAATTATCATTGTTGTATTTAAACTTATAGTCAACTATCATGACATACATATTTATAAGTAGTAATTCTAATGATTCATGGCTCTGCTTTTTAGAATAATATTTTAGAATATTTTTTCTACTTTTCAGAACATATTCTGATTTGACCTTGCTATATCTAAAAGTCCAAGGTAGACCATATAGATTATCATAAAAAGAGATTTTGTAAAAAATATGTTCTTTGATTATTTAAATTTAAGAACGGAAGCCTTTTTGGCCTCGTGACTCGAAGTTTAGAAAGCAAAATAAAAAAAAATTAACGAGTTAGTGTATAGGGGAAATACTGCCATAGAATCCATTGTTCTAGTAACTTTTTTTTTTCAACGGCGGGTTGCGATTTTCCAATCCAGCGGTCTTTAACGACCCGCTCTGTTGATTTTCCTTACATTTTCTTAAATAAAAAAAGAAGACTTTGATTCTTTTAAAATTTGTGACAAATTTTAAAATAAATAAAAGCTCATATAATAATAGGGAGCAACTTAAACCAAGAGAAAAATCTATAAAAAAGAACCATTAAAGGCATTGTAAATTAGCAGATAGGTAACTGAGAATGGATAAAACTCTCTGATTTTTTTTCAACAAATAACAGATTGTCTGAGATGAAATACCATTAAGTATTCTTATGTAAAACAAATGTGGGTAAAATGACGAACCTTTCTACTGGGATTAAGACCAGATGCCGCCATATAAGTACTGCTTATGGTCTTTATTTTCTCTAACGGCCTGAAACGTTCCTCATCCAGCAACTGAAATAATAATAGTAATAATAATAATAATATATCATTTATATATATATATATATATATATATATATATATATATATATATATATATATATATATATATATATATATATATATATATATATATATATATATATATATATATATATATATATATATATATATATATATATATATATATATATATATATATATATATATATATATATATATATATATATATATATATATATATATATATATATATATATATATATATATATATATATATATATATATATATATATATATATATATATATATATATATATATATATATATATATATATATATATATATATATATATATATATATATATATATATATATATATATATATATATATATATATATATATATATATATATATATATATATATATATATATATATATATATATATATATATATATATATATATATATATATATATATATATATATATATATATATATATATATATATATATATATATATATATATATATATATATATATATATATATATATATATATATATATATATATATATATATATATATATATATATATATATATATATATATATATATATATATATATATNCGTAAATTTTACCCTAGGTTATAAATACTGTCTTTTCTTTGACGGAAAGATAACGGCTGAATATTTGTCACTAAAAAGAAGTCTTTCTATTCAATATGTTAACAGAAATAGCATAAAATTCTGTATTGATATTTCATATGGTATTTTAGCCGACTCTACTGTTTCAAGTTAAAATTTGATTTGTATTCCAGCTTTTTTTATTCAATAAGGAATGTCGTGAGCTTCATAAATGTAAGCCGTTTCTGCTTTTTCTGAATATTTTGCATGAAGAATTTATTTAAAATCCCTAGAGATGCATTAAAATTTTTATGAAATTGCTTTCACTAAATAAAATTATAGTTTGAATTTAAATTTTATTTTTATTTTTTGAAAAAAAAGAATTAGAAAATAAAAAAAGAATTAGCAATGCTATTTATTATTTTTATATAAAAGGTATACGGAGAATAAATGAAACACTCATTTAGACACTATAAAACATATAATATATACATATATATATATATATATATATATATATACATTATATGCAAGTATCTATGCCATTATATAAGACTGTATAATGTATGCCGCAATTCATGCAGTAGGCATGGAGTGGAACTCAAAAAAATTTTTTTTGGGGACAAATCTGATTTACGTGGTGGCAACGCTCTCTTCAACCTTATATTTGATTCTTGATCGGATTCTTATTTGCAGTCATATTCCTGACTTATATCTAGATTTCAGATTTGTTGATAGCAGATAGATAAACATAGTAGTTAGATAGTTTTTTAGAAACATAGATTTGTAGATAAAGGTACGAGTAGATCCAGTCTTTTCATGGACTTTTTGGAGGCGTTCGGATTCATAGGAGTCGTCTAGCGCTGCTAGACGATTCCGAGATTAGCCACAACAACAACACAACAGATTTGTAAATACTAGATAGATTTGTAGATAGTAGATAGATAGATGTGGCGTAGAGAGACATGGCCAATCAGGTGAACCGGGTTTGAATCCCAGTGATGGCTGGGAACATATGAATTGATACGATTCTCCGAATTTACGAATAGATACGAATACGGCTCGATACGAAACCCGAACCCGGTTGCACCGATTACAGTGCAGACGTAAAATATCCAGAGTGGTAGACGGATCATGGGTTAGAATCTCTTGCCGTTAGGATAATCGAGTGGTTTTGCACTCCATGTCACGCAAATACGTATTAGTTCCATTCAAAAAGTTCCTCCAATACTATCCATTAGTTCCCTTGTCATCTGGATTAGGTTCAAAATGACATGGCTACAGATTTGAACATTAATAGTCGTAAACCCCAAAAAGCTGTTCAGCGACGCTTATAAAATAAAATGAGTAAATGTAAAAAAGATAAATAAATAAACACAAATAAATGTGGGGAGAACTCCTGATTAGGCTTTTCATAGTGGGTTCTGATCTTAGAATAAAATCTTGGGTCTACAAAATGCTTCGGTGTCAGTAGCGAATCCAAGTTTTAAATGTTTTTTTTCTATTATTTTTGCCACGGTAGATTATTTCGATGAGAGATTCTATTGTCGAGATATCGTGTATCCGAAATCCTACAGAAAACTTGGTTATATCTGAAGATAATTAATTTCCGCGAGATCCAACTGCGCGATATTTTGTAAATCCTAAGATTCTAACAACCGATATTTTGCTACACAAAACTGATGAATAAATACCTCTTCTAAATGAAACATGGACAATTTTTTAAAAATACTTTTAGCAATAACAAATTCACCTGTTCTGCATAATTAAAAAAATAAGCAAACTCGTCATTACCTCATAATTTCTGTCCTGGAGAAGAAAGTAGGATGCGACATGATCGGGTAGAATATTTTTCAACAATTGCTGATTATGCTGCCTCAGTTCTCGCATTTCCTGCAACTCTTTTTGAGCCTGAAGTTTCCACAAGAAATCCAACCGAGACGTTATCTCGATCTGTTGAAGAAGAATTGAGATGTTTATATGCAATTGGATTGGAAAAATGAATGAGTCAAAGTGTTTCATGAAATTTGTTCATCCAACTTCATTGACTACAATGTTTTTATTATGTAGTGGTGCATGAATTGTATTTTCCAACAAAAAGTATTTTTAGATATGTCCCTATTGCATTTTTTTCAAGTTTTCATGATAATGGTGATCAAAACGGAAAAGGAATTCGCTTTTTAATAGCTTAAGCTTACATGACTAGGTGTGACAGTTGAATTAAAAAATAAAAAATGTTCAATTGCGAGGTTTGTAAAAGCCTTTTCAAACTATAGAAGTAACGTTAATAAATACCTAACTGCAGCAAAATATAGTTCCGTAAGAAAAAAAAATTCTAATCTTTAAGAGGTAAACCTTAACGTCTAAACATATGTAAATAAAATTAAAATATTAATTATGGATGCGTGGAGTATTTTTAAAACTTCCAAACAATGTGCATCACTATTTTCATATTTTTCTAAAATAGTGTTTGAGCGATCGCATGTTTATTAAAACTGAGATCTTAATAAAATCTTTCGAGAAACTGAAGCATTCATCAATCCGCTTTCAGGATTCCCAGTCTATACTTTAAGATTTCAAATTTGTTTAATTTACATTTTGTTATTTTCAAGATTATATAGATTATTATTTCTTATTTTCGTATTTATTTAGTTTTTTTTAATATTTTATAAAAGTCTATTCATTTATACATTTAAATTTGTCTTTCCTCCTTTTAATGCTTGTTTAAAGATTTTTCTAGACTTTTTTCACATGACATCACATTTTTTACAATACTGTTATCTTTTTTAAATCTTCCTTTCTTAGTTTGTTTCCGGTTATTTCTAGTTCTTTTGAATTTTCTTTTTAATTTTCACATTGTTTATTTTCTACTCTATATTTATTTTTCATTAAAATGTTTTTCGTTGTCTTTCTTTCATTATTCTCAACTATTACGCATTCAATGTGTAATAAATTCAAATTTTAAAATCAGGGATTATTTATTTTAAAAACAAGGATTCCGTGGATGGGTTTTGAGAGTTAAACTTTCTTTAACCCGTTAAGATTTTAGAAAACTGTGCTTACAATTGTATCTAGTCAATAATTAATTATTTATTTACTGTTATTTTTGTTATTTTTAAGAAATTATTTTAAAATGCCTGTGAAAAATATGGTAAATTTATTCTAATAAGAACGTATTGAATAAATTACAATAAGGATATGCATGTATGAAAAACTGCGGTAGAATTTTCCCTCGTATGAATTCGAATTTTTTAATTAAATAATAGCGTCTTAAAATAATGTGTCTTAAAATGAATGTTTATGACCCAAAATTGTAATAAGTATATTACAATACAAGTAAAGGAATTGACAGTTTTACTCAGGTATGAGTCGGATTCACGCAATGCTTAGGGGTATCATCTTCGAAAATATTATGGGATCTCCACATCAGAAAGTTGAACCCTGGTTTCGAGTTCCAAAGGCGTAGAAAAATTTGAAACTCTACCTTAAATTACAGATCTAGGATACGAAATTCAACGTTTTATTTAAGAAATTCAAGTGAAAAAAAAAGAAATGGAAACTAGAAAGAAAAAAAAAAATCGATGATAGGAAACTAGATCATCTCGGTATCTAGACTGTGATCTCCCCTTCCCCTTACTTTTCAAATAAAATTCGAGACGTAGACTTAAAAGATTTCGAACACGTCTTGGGAAAGTTAGACAGAAGGGAAGAAAGAAAAAAAAGAAGATTCCTTTTATCCTTTCTTTGAAGACTTTGTTTTCTTAAGTCTTCTTCAATGTCCGATCGTCCTCCTGGGGGAAGAAATCGAGACCCAATAAAAATATTATCGTCAAGTGTTGAATTTTCACAGATAAATGATACTCTTGACCATAAAGTGTATAAAAAAATAGATTTTATGTCACCGTCACCTTAATCCCGTTTTTCAGGATTTATTTAAGTTTTATTTTATATGTTCATCAAACGATTACATAATCGTTTGATGAACTGCCCACCGAAATGACTTTCTTTTTGCTTTTAGGCTCATGGGTTGTATGAAAAGATTGGCTGGGTCACCTACAACTGGATAATTGGTTCTGTTAAAAAACAAGAGTGATGTATGAAAACCAATATCGTTAAGAAAAAATTTATAGCGATGATTAATCATCCATCTTACAGTGATCTGAAACTAATGACGGGATGAAGCCATACATATAAGGATGCTGTCTTTGATTTTTGAATATTTTGCATTGACTTAAATTACATAAAACAGTTAGGGGTTCTGATTATGGATTCTATTAGAATGAACAAGTTTTCGACTTATCTCGATTTTCGCGAAAATGTTTTGTTTAAAATTAATTTTAGTAACATTGTTCAATAAATGTTTTTCAAAAGACGATATAATTCCTTTAGTATTAATTTCTACACATAAAAGAAAGAATCTGTCTGTTTTAATTTAGGCTCTCTAATAGCCTCCAAACCATTATTTACAAATAGAATAGGCATTTCAATGAAACGCGATTTCCCCCCAACCCTCTCTGTTGCCACTGCAAATATACCCCAGAATATTCCCACTTCTTACAGATTTGCTGTGGGGGAAAAAGTAAGATTTTCTTTGGTTACATTAACTGAAAGGGTAAATCGCATAACTTTGATTCTACTTGCAAAGAGTATAGTTAATTTGAAGCAAAGAATCGATAAATACAGTTTTTTTAATGATAATTTGAAGACTTTTTCTAATATCAAAGGCCTTATTTCGAAGCTAAATTTCAGTTTGTTTTACGGCAATGGCAATGAAAACTTTCGACATTATAAATATCTTTAGAAAAAGCGAAAACATTGAATCAAATACCCTACCAATCTGCAGTGATAGCTGACCATGTAAAAGAAAATGACCAATAGAACAACTGCTCGGAGCTTCAAGGAAACGCAGTTCTTTCTAAAAGAGAAAAAGTAACATTATACATTGCTAAAATACGAGGATGGATCAAATAGAAATGAGACTTTTTAAAAAAAAAAAATTAAATATTAGAATTTTACTTTTAAAAGAGCCGCCAGTGAGCCACGATGGCTCAGGGGATAGAGGGTTCGCCTTCCAATGAGGTGAACCGGGTTCAAATCCCCAGCGATGGCTGGTCGAAATGAATTCCGCATCCGGCTTGCACCGACCACAGTACTGACGTGAAATATCCTCAGTGGTGGACGGATCATCGTTTAGAGTCTCTTTGCCGAATTTAGAAATTTGGCAGAAAAATTTCATTATAAACAATACTTTAACCAAAAGATTAATAACAGTAATGAACTTTTTAGCAGATAATGAGTATTTATTAAAAATTTAATAGCTTCTTATTTCACAAATTTATACTGTATAATTTCTTTCTCTTTGTCTTTTTTCTTCTTCATAATTTCCACACTTTCAGTTTAAAAGGAAATTATTATTTTTTTTTTAAATATCATGTTAAGTAGAAAATTTTTCATCGTAAACAACTATTCTTAAAGATTTCTTTGTAAAATAATGAACATTGTTATTTTCTTCCTCTGATGTGTATATTATACAATCTAGCATAGTCTCAATGAGATTATTATGTAACAAATTCTATATCACTGTATTTATACACTGTAACTATTTATATATTGCAAATATTATCTTGTACATATCAAAATTTCAAAATTAATACCGCTGACTGGACCCGTTCCTTGGCTGGAGTGGAGCTGGACTAATGGCCAAGTCCTGGGCTATATGGTTAAGGGTTTTGTATAACCTAGGCACATGCTCAGGGCTTGGAGGTAAGAAAAAAAAAGTTCCTTTGCCGTTAGGCTAACCGTGGGAGGTTCCCGTGGTCTTCCTCTCCATGTAACGCAAATGCGTGTTAGTTCCATGAAGAAGTCCTCCACGAAGACAAATTTCTCCTAATACTTGATCCAGGAGTTCCCTTGTCTTCTGGATTAGGTTCAAAATTACAAGGCTACGGAGTTAAACATTAGTAGTCGTAAACCCAAAAATTGGGTCTGTGTTCAACGACGGTTATAAAAAAAAAAAAATTAGCCTGAAGGTGCCAAGTCCAGACGATAAGGAGAAAGTTCAGCTGTTTTCCAGTGTAATTATTGTAACTTGTGTTGTGTTACTACGGTTTTTGACAAATGTCTTTTTTTCCTATCCTTTTTTGTTCTAAATTTCAGGTACCTACCTCGTTGAGTTTTTTCGATGCTCCAAATCGTCATGAATTATGCTTTCCATAACTCATTTCTGTTAGAACACTAATTTTTCGAACTTTACTTTGTCAATCATAATGAACAATGTCTAAAAAGTGGCCAATTTTCTCTGTTGTCAGACTTGTTCTGGGTCGAAGGTGTCAGAAACTCTTTAGCATGAAAATGGAAGTTGTAGATAACCACAGTATCTTCAGATTATTTTTCATTTTAGATTTGTGGACAGGAAAAGGGGACTAAAAATTGCAGATAGAAAAAATAAAATAAAAAAGCAAGTTCGTTCTCGGTATTCTTGGAAAAATAACATAATTTTTAAATCCACATGAATGAAAGACAATATTTTTCTTTTTAAGATCTGATATTAAAAAAAATAAATAAATTGCCATAAGAGCTTCAGATTAGGATTATTCCTTTCACGTGTGCAAAGTATTAACGATAAATTGCTTTCTCTGTTCGTTTGTAGCTGGAATAATTAATAAACTCTTGCTTTCTACCTCCAATAGATAACAAAAATATTTTCCACTTTTAATTAACATGGTTTCACATTTTTATTTTTCAATTTATTCTTTCTTGGAAAAACATTCCAATTTTCTAAGTTTTTGATATACTTGTTTGATACTTAATAACTTTGAGCGAATAGAATTTGTAAAATAAACACTATTTTCATGTTCCACTTCTTGCTCCAAAATTTTCTTCATACTTAACAGGACCGCCACAAACAACAACAATGCAGTATGAAGATTTCAAAGTGTTCATAAACTAGACAAAAATGTGTTTTGGGTCTAAAACTAGTTTCTTGGTATTTACTGATTTTATTTCTTTTTTCCTTCTATTTTTGAAAACCGAAAACTTTACGTGAACAGCGCGAATCCTGATAGTTTAGAAAATGATTTAAATTTAGCTGATTAATTAAACTAATTGGAAATTTATTCAATATTAACTTAATTTCAAAATTATCAACTTTTAACTCAAATGCTGCAAATAAGTTTCAAACTAATATGTAAAAATATAATCGAAGTTTTCCGCTATTATCGTTACATTTTTACTACATGGTAGGACCCAGTTTTTCAAAAATAATTTCCGTATTTTTTTTTTCTTGTAGTTTTTAGCATGAAATTAATACCTAGTTTACGAAAAATATTTGCCCCGTAAACGAAATAAACAGTTTACTAGCTTTTTGTTCTCACAAAGAAAAATAAAGCCTTCTCAAATTGATAAGCAAGTTAATTTGCTTTTTGTGAAATGTTAGTTTTATTACTACGATTAAGCAGCAAGAATCCACAAAAAAAGAAAAATACAAAGAAAACAAGGGAATAAATAAAAAAAAAGGAAAAATAAGGATCCAAACGAAAAAAAAGTTTTGCAATTTTTTTGTGTAAAAATTTAAAATATATTAAGAATTTTTTTATTAAAATTATTTAGAGAATTTTTTTGGAGTTCAAATAGACAATGTACTATAATAATACCACAAGAATCTAATTTTTCGTCCCTTTTAAACTTACTTTTGCATTATTAAGAAAAAAATTTATTCTCCAAATATCAAATTTGTTTTTTGATTTATTGATGATTTAATTTTCTTTAATTTTTTAATTCAATTTTCTTTAGTAATTTTGTTAAATAATCTTTGCCTAAAAGAGCTAATATTGTTTCGTAATCGTTACATTAATATTAATTGCAATTTTTTGGATATAAATATTAAAAAAGAAGAAAATATGTGCCATTTTGACATACGATAAAAGGAAAGATTTTAAGTTTAATAAAAACTAATTACATTGAATTCTAATCTTTCAGAAAACATTTATTTAAATACTATTTTAATCAAATAGATAAAGATAAAGGAATTTGTAGTAATATTTATTTATCAAAAAGAAAAAAATAGACAAACTTTTTTTAAAATTTGATAAAAACCAACAGATATTCAACAGATGTTATTAAATTTTATACAAAATCATCGAGTTGATTTTGTATTAAAATTAATAAATGAGCATATTTACATTAAAATCTTTTAATTATCTAGATTGATACTTTTGCCATGTACAAATCCAATTTGGGCAAATCCATGGCAAAAATCTAAACTGGAGTTATATAAACTGGGTTTAGTGAATCGTTCGGAAAATTGGTATTATACCCTAAGGATTCATCTCGGCTCAGACTCTCGACCAGAGTCCACCGTCCAGTACCAAGCTTGTGGGCCGCGGCCTACGCATTGTTAATAAACCCTCAGGTACACTATACAAATCTCAGTCATCTCTCTTAAGCACTCGGGATTTTCCCAATGTACGCCTATCGAAAGTAATACTCTTTACGTTTTTCGTTTTAAGTCTACCCAAACTAAAATGATTTTCTTTTCTTAAAACCATGGTTGTTACTGTCTACGAAGTTTTTTTCTCATGCAGTAGCAAAATTAAAAACAATATCAATATTTAAAATTATACATACCAATTAAATTTTTTTAAAATTTAAATGAACTATACAAGAGTGGAAAAGCTAAGAAAATGTAGCTGTAATACTGAAGTTAAAATTAGTTTTTTTTCAAAAAAATGTAGCCTTGAGAAAACTGATATAACAGTTTTTGATTTTTCTAGGACTTAGATAGGAACTCTAACTTCTATAGGAGTTTCCGGATGGGAGGCTAGTTATTCTGAAAACTACTTGAATAATTCAAAAACGAAACTTTTGAATTTTTTAAAATCTTGGTTTCTTTTTAGACACCAGGATCTCAATTTTTTATTCAGTTAAGTATTGCGTCGGTTATAGTAGTTTTTCTTTAAGGCAATTGATAAGTTTTATTGGGTTGCTTTAAATGTTACATTTTTTAATGTAACATCCTACCATTTGTGTCATAATTGGAAATTTTTTTTTTCACGAGCTCCCTGAGCCTTAAGCTACAACTTAATCCCAGTTGGGCTCAAAATTGTCTCAGTATGGGTTCTAAATCAACATGCAACGAGAGAGCAATATCGGGCAGTCTAGATTTTTTATTATTGGCCCTTTAAAGGGCCAACATCAGCCTATATACGGCAAATATAGGGCATATATTGGATAATAATAATGGGCATAATAAATAGGTATAATAATAAATATAAAATATCGGGTTAATCTGACAACTCTGTACAGGACCGATATTGGGTGTAAAGTGGTTGTAAAATATCAGAGAATTCCTTATAGGGCCAATATCGAAAAAAATAACGGTCCTTTGAGTGAAGATTCGTGGATCCAAGCTATTTTGCAGCAAAGGGAGGAAGAAGAGGAGGATACCTTTCGCAGAATCCCTCGAAGATGTCACGGAATAGGAGTAGCATGAGGAGTAGGTAGATGGTGAGCATAAGGAAGAGAAGTCCAAGTTTCAGGAGGTAATGCACTTTCAGGAAGGATACACAAGCCACCATAGTTAAGATCCAGCTCAACACAAAATACTAAAAAATAAACAACCTTTTTATCACTACATATTCAAGAGGGTTCATTTAACCTCCTTTATTACTATATATAAAAGTGGATGGGTCGCAATTTTCCATTGTTGTCAATACATTTTTGTTAGCTGGGAATAGTTTTCATATTGGTTTGGTTGCCATCAACATAAAATTGATATTAGTCATAAAGTTATTGTTTTCCTCCAAATATATCGGTTTCCCTAATTTAAAGGTTAAAATTACCTATACTGTTATTATTACGTTTTCTTATTTTGTTTGATTTATAAATTAAGAGTTTAGGAGGATTGTTATTATTTTTATTATTAGAATAATTTAATTCTACGATGCATTTCAAGATAAATATATTTAAATCGGTGTCTGATATTATTAATAGTTTTATAGGTATTATTTTTGGTGCAAATGACATTAACAAACTATTATGAATGATGGTTAAAGAGATTCGTTAAATGATTTAGAACTTCACTTTCAGCTTCATTCACAAAGTGATGAATGCAAACATTGTATTTAAAATATTCGCTTGCTAAGCTAAAATATTAAATGACAGTTGTGAACTCACCCAATTTGTTATGACAATATACTTTTAACTGTTATTTTAAAAAAAATGATTAATTAGAAAAACAATTTATGTTCACTTCATAAAGGAAATATTTGGACGTGGCGAGAGGAGGCACAAGAGAAAATATATATTTTTAGTTGAATCATTTCAACTGTAATTATGGCGAAGCAATCATCGGGGTTGGTGAGGGTCAGCGAGCCTCCTAGTATAAAATACCACAGAGATTTTTTCCAAAAGGTAATTTTCTTCTCAAAATCGGAGCCAAAAAATTTATTTTATTCTGTGCTAAATGAAGGAATGTGAAATACCTGAACCTGTAACCAAGAATCTCTAAACAACAATAGTTAAGTACAGAGTTGTAACAAAGTTGGCGTAGGAAAACAAAATGAAATACTTTTGCCGGTTTGTTGGATTTTATTTCTGTAAAGCTTAGGGTATTGAAACAATCTCAAATAATAAGTATAGCAATATCGTTGCAGATATTTCTTGTTTCAACTTAAAAACTCTATTTTTATTTATCTATTTATTTGGAAAACATATTTTTTTTTTGTTACTTCAAAAATAGAGGGGCGGGTTAGGCCAAGTTTTGTGAAGCTGGTTTTTATAACTTAACCATTACAACGGTTGAAAGTTTCGTTATTCTAACACTGTTTTAAAACATCATATTTTGTTTTAAAACTTTTGAAAGATTCGTCAAAATACCTTCATTTTTTTTTCTCTCAAGCTTATTAGATGTCGACCTAAGAATAATTCATAATAGCAAAGAATTTAGATTAAATAGTAGCTTTAATAAATAATTTGTTAATCATCCAAAAAACTTTTTTTAGTTGTTACATTCAAAACCTTATACAATAAGAATTTTTTTAAACTTGAATCAAATTTATCTAAAAGACATAACACAAAGTGGGAAGAAAATATAATTTTTCAATGTCAACAACTTCCTGCATATTCAGTCATCCTCATTATAAATAAAAGTTTCCATCGAGTTTTATCGGAATTACTCTCGCAAACCTTCATCATTTTATAGAACTTAACTGGCTAAATTCAATTAATTAATCTTTCTTTCTCATTATTAATAATGAGAGTTAAATCTTCAGTTAGGACAGTCTTTTACTGTCGAGAATAAATTATAATCATCCACTTTTGGCATTTAACGACAACGACGCAAACAAAAATCGTTAAATGATATTTAATTAAGACAATTTTAGCCCAGAAGCCTTTTTTCCCCAACTCTAGTCCATAAAACATTAAATAGTTCATATTTAATAAGTTTCATGCTTATAAAAAATGTTTTCAATAAAAACGGTGAGCATTTCTGTCTTTAAAAATTTTGAGATTATTCAAAAAGAGCTTCGTTTTTTGAAGGTCTCTTCAGATTTCAAGATAACGAAAGAATTCTTTAAACAATGGCAAATTTTACATTAGGGTGATTTCGTACTTTTATGTTAGCTTCCGTAAGCTCCCGTTTTTTTATACGCAAGATTGAAGCAACTGTGAATGCTCGCGTTTATTTTAGATGCTACCTATCTTTTGTTGGCGTGATTGACGTTAAGCACGCTACTTACAGCTGTTAAATACTGTTTTGTTTGTAATGTTTTCTGTTGAAGCCTACCTTCGAACTAAAAACATGGATATGGATTGCGAATTTGAAGAAATGTATGGATGAAATTTAGAAATCGTGTGATCTTACAACCATTGGCTTCAATAAAAAATTATTTTATTGGTTTTCATTTATCATTATGGTTGTCTAATGGCACTAGTTCCATAAGTAACTAGATATATTTTTGCTGTTTCAAAGTTATAAATTATATTTATTTTAACTGTACAATTTAGTTAACTATACAAGTTAAATAATCAATAGAAGTTCTCAATAACACTTATAATAAGCTGCATTCTTTATAGCTTAAATTCATCAAAATCTGTAATCTACCAAAATTTTCTGCTCACAGATCCACAGTTTTGGGTAGAGCAAAGCATTTTGAATCGTATGCCACAGCTTTAAACAAATAGTCTACATTTATTGTAAATGTGTGTTTTTTTTTTTGATTTTGTGGTCAAAGTTAAAATGACATTCCACTACGTTAGCGTATATAACTTGCAGAGGTTTGTAAAATCTCTTACTTTATTTTACGCAAGTTTGTTATTTCTTCACTGGCGCCATTTCACAAGCATGCGCTCTAGAAGTGCGCATGCGCAATTACTTGAAATCTTACGTACGGAAGCTAATGTAAATTTCGAACTATCTCTAATATCGATTATAAGGTCATCAAAGTCAAAACTTTTAAGGGAATATTACAATCGTAAAACTTTCAAAAAATAACATTTACATAATTGGATTGTTGGATGGTGGGATAGAAAGTATCTTAACATCTAGTGCAGAACCATATAAAGAGGTATCCAAAATCTCGTAACTCTGAATTGATATTTTCCACGATATTAATAGAACTGGGAAATATACGCTCACAATCCAAAATAGGTTTTAGTTTTTGTTGATCAACGTGTGGTAACGCTTGAAAATTACCATCTATGAAAAATTTCAGAATTATATTTCATCATTTCCTGACCACCATATAGACTAATCCCTGAGATAATAAGCTATATTTTTAAAATTTCGTACAGATACTCTTTTTTATCTTATCATTAAACTATTTTAACTGCAGAAAAGAAGAAAACGGAAAACTACGATTTGAAGTCTGCTGTTATTGGGAAGACTCAACTTACACTAATGTGTCTTGCTTTACATAAATGTAACACTTAACGGTTTGGTTAATAGTTCATTTTTAATATGAAGCATTTTAAGTCCACATCCCACCTGGAAGAATTACAGTAGTTAATAATAAGAAGAATGATAGATACAGGAGTTAAATGAAAATAATTTCTATACTACCTCTATGCAAACAATTTTTCTTTAACAGTCAGATAGATTTTACACGGAAGCACCATTTTCACAGTTCAAAACTTAATGTTTGAAGGTTTAAGAAATGATGTCCTTTTTAGGCATGCGAAATCGTCTAAAATGAATTTAGAAATTTAAAGAAATTTCTTCTTTTTCATTGCAACTATAATTTAAAAAAAAGTCTATTATAAGTATTGTAATCTTGAAGAATGATTTCAATTATTTATCTCCTGCACTCACCACCCTGTCAGACATCATAACAAACAAGCTTTCAACAAAATCTCGAAACGAGAGATTTCTTTTAATGATAGCCAAAATTATTTTTGAGAATTATTGAAATCACTTCAGTAGTTATTGAGAGTATTGTGTTTTATCCTAGGTTTTTTACACGTACTCCTATTTGTAAAATAACATAAATATATCGCATTTGGCTTTCAATTTCTTGTAATTCTTAGAAAAATTATTGTAAGACAGTTCCCTCGACACAATCTTGAATCATACCTTATTTTGATCACTTTCGCAATTTAGATTTCCAAGTAAAAAAACAAAAGTTTTGTGGAGTTATAAATATATTCAGCTAATAGAAGCATTCATAGAACTAGATCAAGAAAAAGGGGGAAAAGAAGCAGACCATTTAGGTACGATGGAGTTTGTTGAGATTGTTCTTGTTTTATTTTAAGCTGTATACTAACCAGTTACGAGAATTAGAAATGATATAAGCCGATTTGTTGATTTTTTAAATGAATCATTTTCTTTTTCCCCCTCTTTAGTCCAGCGTGTTTTATAACACACTCTCTATACAATGAATTTTACTCTCCCGATAAAGATGGTAAAATGTTTTTCGCTAAATCTAACACCGAACCTCATACTAATCAATCTCTAGTAATTGCTATTCATTATTTTAATAATATGATTAATCAGGGGGATGTGAGGGCCATTGACTCCGGTTTGCTCTACATACGACGTTTTTTTCCTTCTTCTTTAAGGCTAAGTGTCAGTTTACGTTTGTCCAGTATACTGCAACGGCATCTTTAATTGTATCGTAACTTAATTTAAATTTTAGTTTAGCTTGTTTATTTTAATATTTAGTTAAATTAAACTGTTTATTTAATTTAACATTTTTTTAAATAGAGATTTAAGATTAATTGAATTTCCAGTCTGTTTTTGAAATATCTGTTTGAAAGGACGATATATATTCTATATATACGAGTATGTTGTCGCTCAAACTGCGAGGAAAGGTGTTAAAGATAATCTTTGGCGTTGATCTTTGAGTCTTCCCTTTTTAATTCAGGATGGATTAGAGATAATTTAATTTTGATTGGGTTATTGGATAGTAGATGATTGGGTTTTAACTTTTCAGGAAGTGGGTTTCTGTAGGGCAGTAAACTGAGACAGAATGGATTGGAACTAAAAAGAGTTGGAAAATGAGGAAAAAGAATTGAATGAAAATGGAGGAAGAAAAGTTGATGAGAGAAATGTAGAAAAGAAATATAAGGTGACATGGTTTAGCATTTTTCATTTTCTATGTGTGTTATAATTTCAAAAATTTTATTTCGTTGATGTTACTGATTTTAATACATTAATTTTTATAGTGAGTATTTAAAAATTTAAATTAGCAGGTAAGCTAGATTATAATTTATTGTAGTTTCATCTTATGCATATTATTTCATTGTACCACTAGTCACAACAGCTATCTTGGTTAAGGCACACCATTTCTTAAAATAATGCCGTGGTTAAGAGCAAGGTTAATTAGATCAGGTTAGGTTAATTAATAAAATAGAAATAAAATATTCAATCCAAACTGAAATATCTTAGACCAATCCTGAATTAAAAAGAGGAGCTCAGTGATCCACCCAAATTACACCCAATTGTCTAAAGGTTACCCTCAACCCCTTCATATTCCAAGTCTCTATCATCGCATCAAATGATGTTTTTTTTTCTGCGAGTAACATGCTATATTTATAATTGCTGTGAGTTTACAACTGTTACTCATAACTGTTAGGTCAAGTTTAGCCTATATCTAAGGACAGCGCTGTCTACGCTTATTTGGAAAATGGCGCAAAATATTTAGAAAAGTCACAGTTTTGTGAAAATAAAAAGCATTTGTGGTCTAATTTCTTAATATTTAAAAGCTTACTCCAATGCTGCATTACTTAGGCTCCTTAAAATTTGCAAAAACAGAGAATAAAGCGATAATTTCGATAATTTTCATTCAGGTGAGAAAATGTCACCAAATTGGAGATTTTTAAAAAAATTTAATAACTGTGAAAATATTCAAGTTATTTGTCTGTTCTAAAGCCCAGATAATTCTTCACTGCAAAATTATATAGATATAGCTCAAAATCATCGTATTATTTCTAGTGTAAGGCTCTTAAATTATGACTTTTTTAAATTTTCTTTGGCAACAGATCGCTAAGTGAAGGGTGGCTTTTGTGGTCTTGAATTCGCACGCCGCAATTCAGCTACTTTTTTTACAGCCCTCATTAGCGGTACACTACAGAGTACATCTACGAATGGAAAGTCCTATCGTAAGACCTCGTTTCATATCACCTCGTTTCGGGCTTTTGTCGAAACGCATTGGTAAAAGTTCGAAATGGAATCCTATGTAATCATACTTCAGACATTTACCATGCCTCTTTAGTAGTCTAATGTTTTACCAGCAAAACCAAGGATTTACTAGATTTTTACAGTAGCATATTTTTGAGACTTTACTGCTTACATATAGTATTCTATTTTGTACATAGCTTAGTGATTTCTTACCATGTCACCATGTTTCTTATCATATTTTTCAGTCTGTGCAAAATAATCCACCTTGTAATTAATTTTGTATTTCATCCGAATTTTTGCTTTGCATTATTTCATTGATAATTTTTTACATTCCTTTTCATCTATGCTCACGAAAAATAATCTTCATTGTCAATTAAATTCATGATATCTGTGAGAGTTTGACATCGAATGCCGTACTATGTCATGGCCCTTCGTGTCTCTTTGACTTCTCCTTTGTCAATTTATTGATTAAACATCTATCATCGACCCTATTCTTTTACAATTCCAATGAATCAGTTATTGCCTCCTTCGCCGGTAATCGCTGAGATATTGTATAACTTTGTAAACTCTTAAAGAATGATTTCAAAATTGCTGATATTGAAACCAAAAGGAGTTATTAGCTTGGGGGGGTCAGAAATCCGAATTCATCGAAACAAAGGTATGTTTATCCAGAGAAAATACTTTCATAACTTGAAATATCGTATGAATTTACCATATTTGAGGCCACCTCCTCGAACCATTAAGATTGAGTCCTAGAATGCAAAAATCCGATCATAGGATTATAAGTTATTCAGGGTGGTCATTTTTTTTATTTTGCACACTGTACATTTATTTGTATTCATCTCATTGTTTATGACAATTATAAAATGATAAAAAAATTATTAACGATTAGTCGCCATATTAGACAGCTAATATGCATTTGAGTGTTAAGGGTGACTTACTTGGGGATGATGACAGGCTAAATTGTTTGTTTCCACAGCAGTTTCGGTGACATTTAACATTATGTGTCTCTCACAAGAAAACTAAAAAAGAAAAAAAAAAGAGCAGCTATTTACACTCCTTACATATATTAAGTTAAATCAATTCAAACTGAACTTTCACAATTAGTTATAGGGTGCGGTAAAAAAAATCGAGTCGAAGAATCGAAGTTAACCTAATTTCTTTTAATTTGCGCTTATTTCTTTTTGCCTACCACTTTAATAATAAAATATTTTATAGATTTTTTAAAATTTATTTTATCAGTGAATCACCCTCTAAACGTTTAAACGGTTAATCGGATTTTTCATTCTTTTAAGTACTTTGGCAATATCTCAACGAAATCACATAAAATCTGTATAAAAGTTATTTCCAAATAAGCATATTCTACCAGTAACCATGGTAGAATATGCTTATTTGGAAGTAAAAACACACTTTTTTTGAAGAAACCTATCATTTTTATAGCATTCGATTGAGCAGGCAAAAAGGAACCCTTAAGAAGCCAAACTTTATAAATTCAGACACTTGAGAATCTACAAAGACAAATGAGCATTTGGCATAAAAAATGGAAGATCGCCAATTGTGGCATGCATCACTTGGGAATCGTGATGCTTTTAAGTTATTCGTTGCGTTAACCAACTAATTCGCATAGTAAACGGTATACTAATTCGTTTAGTGAACTAACTAACTAATAACCAACTAATTCGTATAGTGAATGGTAAACCCAGATAAATAAAATAAGGAAAAAGTAGTAGTAAGAATTTATTCCCTATTTAAAAACTAGGAAAAAGTATTTTATTATATTTTTTTCTGACTGCTCGAGTTTTAATGGGAGGAACAATTGTGCCTTAACAAAACGTTCTAATCCTGAGACGATTTTTGATTCACTTAAATCCTGCGAAATAAATGTACAAAATAATTATCGCACACATTGGAATTTCGAAAAACACTTTACACTAAATTCTTAAATAAATAGGGTCCTTTCTGCATGCCGAGTTTCAACTTTGTAACAACTTCTTACACCCTGTAGAACGACCCCTGTGGTATCTTCTTCCTACAAGTTTAACAGTTAATAATTCTCGAACTAATTATCGAATGTTAAATTCCATTGTATTCTGTATACATTTTTCCACACCATTTCGAAATTTCAAGTTTCTAAACCTTATGGCTTAAAAACAAAATGCAACGAATACTTAAAATAGTGGCGGCATCGGTGGCCCTTACGATTTTTTAATAAAGAGAGATACTTATTAATGCATTTTATCTTCTTATCAAAACACGTGTTATCTTCTTAGGTTATTCAAAAAGGATGAATTGTGTATGATGAGGTACACATTGGACATTAGCATGTTATTAAGCATGAGCATAAATCGGACTTTTCTCGATATACCAATGAAGGGAAGAATTATCAATTTTTGTTTAACATGAGTTTTAAATGTTTAATGTCCCACTCTTTTGCTGCAGCGTGGTAATCCATGAATCAGTCACTAAAATGAACATGAAATAACGGTGTCACAAAAGAATTTCAGGCAGGCCACACACTGGGGAAACAAGCGGTAGGTTAAGAGTCCCATGAGCTAATGCAAAAGTATAAGAATTCGTCACTTGCTTTCTCAATGAATGAACTAAAAACTAATGAATATAAATGATGCTGAAAGAAAAGAACGAGGCGAAGAAAAAATTAACCATGAAACTCAAGAGCACCCACTGAATTACATTTTTATTGACTAAAAATTGACAATCCATTTCTGAAAAAGTTACCATTCTTAGTAAACACTTTTCAAATAAATAAATAAATAAAATACATAATGTAGAATATAAGAACAATATGAGATGAACGAGAGATCTTTTGGATAGAATGTTTTGAATTTATTTTATTCGATTGAAGAATGTGTAGGAGACTACCGAGTGAATAACCAGTGGTATATAATTAGTTTCGGATCACGAGCCCCCCCTTTACCGTTATATGAAATACTCATCCATTCTATTGATACCCTTGCATCCATTCATATTTTATTAGAATTTCGAGTCTTGATAGTCAATGGTCATTTTTCATTCTAACCGACAAGTACATACGTCATACCCACCGCAAAACAGATTGGATCCGACGTGCGTCAAACTCGCTTTACTGGTGAATGCAGTTTTTAACTACAATTATCGCCCAAATGGTGAAACTTTGAAACCTCCTATATATATACATGATTGCATGGATTTTATATATGCATTTTTACATACGTAAACTACCTCTTGCAAAAGATTTTTCAAAATTAACTTTTGTTTCATCAGATCCTTGAAATTCTATTTTAGCGTTCATATATCATTAGCAATAAAAGGATAATTGTTGTCAAGCCACTTTACCCGAAATCCACCGTGATGCACTTATAGTTTTTTCAATTGTAGTTTTCTTCCTGTAGTTTTTTCAATTGCACACCCATTTCATACTAATGTACGTAAGCTGCTTGTCAGTTTTCCTAAGCTCGCATTTTGAGCTATGTTCAGAATGAAAAAGGTCACCGACGCTTTACAATATAATAGTGAAACGTAATTTATATCTCTCTCTACATATTTATATACATAAAATAGAATTTTCGAAACTCAACATTAATGAAAAGAGACAGAGTTGTATGCTTCTGAAAACAGAAACTTTCACTAAAATGTGCGAGGAGGCAGAAACGCGAATAAGCTTTTAATGTAACAAAAATAAAAATTGTTCGGTAACTTTTATTGGAAGATGCGAAGCTTGTTAAATATTCCAGCGATGTTACAACCCTTATACAATGGAATAAAAAATAAATAAAATAAGTTTTCCGCGAGTCTAAACAATTTAAGAGTCGGCGATGCGGTGAAACTTGGCAATCAAATGAGGGTAATTATCGCGTGTTTTAAATTTTAAAATGTTTGCGCCAACAACGCGTCATTTAATGAAAATTATGTTCTTTGATTTTTAACTTCTCGTTGATTTTTAACAAAACTTTAAACTGAAAACTAAAGGAGATTTTTAGTGAGGAAAATAATGTACTCAGTGTTTTCCTTCTCAAGCTTCGTAGTTTTAGAATGAACGCTTTAAAAGCAACTCAATGTAAGTTAGTTCAAGAATTTTTATTTTTTAACAAAAAATAGTGTTAGTACGAAGTCTTTTCGATTGAATTCAGCACACTGTACTTTTCTAATAATAATTTTAATAAAATCTCATAATAAAGAAAGAGTGTGAAGTTTAAATGTTATTTTTTAAAAAGTACTTACCATGTTTGCAGTAGCACCAATCACAATAGCAGCCACTGTGGCACAGAAAATGGCATTCCTAAGCGGTCTACGATTGTCTAGGGCTGACTCAAGAACTCGTGCCCATCCGGCAGAAGGTGCCAGTGCCGTCGAGGCGCAAACTGCAGCAAATGTAGCAGCCAAGAAAAGGGTGACGGCAGGAAAAACTGACACAGTCACTAGAGAGCTGAAATTATATTTAATTCTATACTATGAAACAATTAATTTCTCAATTCCTAAAATAAAAGTGAAATTAAAGCCTAAATTTCCATGAGCTTCATGAGACATGTATCACCACTTTTTAAATTTTTCCAAACAGTGGCTACCGCGATATAGATTATGACGGAAACGAGAAAAAAACTGAAATTTAGATTAAAATATACATACATACCAGAATTTGTAAGAGTTTCATAACATACATATATCGAGCTTTTTTTTTTCTTTTTTATTTTTTTTACCCATGCAAAGTGATGAATAGTTTACTTTATAATTAAGAACAGTAAGAGCTTATTTCGTAACTTACAAAAATGGACAAAATTGAAATGGTTTCACTACCAGTTTCTTTTTCGTCTTACTTTCAGCTCTGATCTTATGAAGATTTATTGGTACTATTTCACGTTAATGGATCATAGTTTCCAACTTTGTGTATGTATCTGTGTGTGGGCTATACATGACCAAATTAGGACATGATCTGATATTGAGAAAATAAAAGAAGATTTATCACAATCCCCTTATTGTCAGGTTAAACGTAGAAGGCTTTCGTGGAACGTAGTTGTGGGTTAGTTAAAACAAATTTTTTTTCACATAGGTCAGTTTGTCCTAATGCTTGATCCAGGAGTTCCCTTGTTTTCTGGATTGCGTTCAAAATTACAGGGCTTTGTAGTTGAACACTGATAGACGTTAACTTAAAATAGGGTCGGCTGTTCATCGCAGGTTATAAAATAAAATAAAATACAATGTGTGTGTGATCAAATAATGATTAGAAAACTTGATCTTCCCTTTAGAGTGGACATTGTAAATCAATTTAAATAATGAAATTTAAAACTTCACAAAACAAATTCGACTAAGAAAAAAAAAAAACACAGAAAAATCTTCATTATTGGCGATGTTATTTCAGTTTGAGCTCAAATGTTTCTTATCATTTGCACATGCACAATACATTGTGCTAAACAAGTATATATACAAAGGTACAATTGCAGACCAATTTTAGTTCATCCGATCACGTTTGTTTGGAGTGGACAATCAAATTTGATGAGAATTGTACAAGATAAGGTTAAGAAAAATATGAAAATGAGTTCTATCAATTCAGGATCGATTCTTGGTCTCATAACTTTCCAGAAAACTTTATTTGCGAATGATATTTTTTTCTATTTTGAATAATAACGCTCATGAATGCTTTAGGTAATGCTATAGTTCATCATAAATATAGTCGGGAGTGTCTGTGGCAATTCCTGGCATAGAACCAGATGACAAAAATGATATTCTTGATGAATGAAAGCAGAAGATTAAAAAAAAATATTGTGAATAAAATTGCGAATATAAAATAATGACTACTAGTAGTCTTCATGATGAAAATATGAAAGTAAAAATAAATTTCGCAAAAGCGGAGTCATTTTTTATTCAGAGCAATGTAACAGAAATGCATAAATTTAATTGTATCGATGGTTTAATTAATAATTAATGTATAGAATGATTTTAATTTTGCTTTGAGAATTACTTTGTCTTCAAATCAAATAAAACTAATACTTTTTTTTTCAAAATTGAGAATAAAGTTTGTATTTTCATGTCCAAATTTAATTTTTTTTCAATTTTAATTTTAATAATTAGTAGATTAATTTGTTACATTTAATTTCTTTTTTTCTTCATTACGTTAAATTTAGTTCAGATTAATTTTTTATTCGTAAATTTAGTATGTAAAGTAGGAAATCGAAAATATTTTTTTCTGATTTATAGTTGCAAAGCAACATTCTGCATTTAAAGTGATATTTCACATTTTATAGTAAATCTCAGAAAACAGAAAAATGGTCATCATTTTTTCATTATCTGCATTTATTTACTAATTACACTGGGTAACAAATTTTTCGTATTGTGTTGCATGAAATGTTTGATCAAATCTTAGATATTTTTGCGTACCTGGTCACAAAGTAGTACCTATAGTTACCTATACTTGGCTATATCTATAGTTCTTCTTGAATACATTTCTAGCCAAGATTTTTTTAAAAATTCATACGACTACTAAGTGTCCCCATTTCGTTGCTACGTAGAGAGTGATAAGAAGAATGCATTTCGGTTTTTTTTGATGTCATACTATAAGGTCATACATTTTTTTTTTTTTATCAAAGATTATTTTCAAAGGAGCAGACAAGTGTAATATATATATAAATATACAAGTGTAATATATATTGCGAATAATGTATATATATGTATATACAAGTGTAATATATATTCAGATAAAAAAAATACAAAACCTTTTTCAAAGAATCTGCAGCTTTCTAAACAAAACTAATTTGAGATTTGAAAAATCCCTCACCCGAATTAAATAAGATCAAGTAGTTATGCAGTAAAAATTTGTTTCTCAGTGTAATCCAGAATATCTATATAAGTCGAAATGATGCTGTTCTTTTCTTTACTTTTCTTATATTTAATAGATATATCGAATGAGACTTCCACGAAAAAAATTTAAATGCACGCATTTACTTATTATTTTATGATATATATTTCCCAGTATCATTCTTTTATACTTTTGATTAATTTGAGCATATAATAAGGGATCGACAAATTTTTATATTCTGACAAATTTAACTTACATTCAAGCAAATCAATTTTAGCAATTCTTTTGAATACGAATTTGTTGCTGATTCTTATTGACAATTCTTCTATTTGCAATACAGCCCTTTCTAGCCCAGAGCGTTCCCTAGAACCTTCCTCCATTTTGTTCTTCTCTTTGCAATTGTTCGTCAGTCAGTAATTCTAATGATTTTAAAATACTCCTCCACACCGTCAAGCCATCTGATTTTAGGCCTATCTCTAGATCTCATTGGTTTGTAATTGATGATCTTAAATGTCAAGGAAGAAGGGGTCCATTTGACAGATGTGACCCGTTTAGCTTTAAGCGGCTTATGTTGATGTATTTGTAGACGTCAGCTTCCTTGAATAGCTTATATAATTCTAAATTATGTCGTTGTCCCATTAAGCCATCCACATTTATAGCACCAGAAAGCAAAAACAGCAAGGCAGGTCTGCTTGTAATTTAGTTAAAGACCATGTTTCGGATCCATAAGTTAAGAGAGGTCTAATCATTGTTTTATGTAGTGTCTTTTAATTAATTTTGACTTTTTCTGCTATGAAGGCACCGATTGGCTACTATAATGCGTCTCTTTATTTCTAAACTTATATCGTTTAAGGCATTAATATTTGAATCAAGATAAGTAAAATTGTCAACAAGTTCGAATTTAGAATTCCCGGTTTACATTGAAGCATTTGCAATATGCACGTGTTTTAATAATTGACATGTATTCGGTATTGTCTTCGTTAACAACTGGATGCATCTTTTCTGAAGAGCGATAACTGCTACCGACAATGGTTTTACAATGACTACCAACCCTATTCTGTTTTCAGTAACCTTTCCAAAACAACTTAAGTTGTGAACGTGTTGATCACTTACTTGGGTGTCATGACGACTTGGATGAGGGCCACGAAAATCCAGACAGCAAAGGCACATGAAGTATTCGATCGAAACACTCTGTCTCTGATCTGATGAAACTGAAATTATACACATACATCTGTGAATGACAGAAATCAAGAGAATGTCGACTTTCACCTGTGAATGTCAGCAATCACACAGTTCCTCTGGTGAATGTCAGAAATATTTGTTAGATCCGATTGGATATTAATTTATTCATTGATAATATATTTATTTGATATTTTTATATATACTAGGAAGCTTCGCCCCCTACTCGCTGGCGCTCGCCAACCCCCGGAACTGCTTTCGCAGTTCATTTTGGATTGCTTCGCAATCCAATGCTCGCTCATTGGATACGTTCTTAACGTCTAGCTTTTGTATACTTTTTTGAATACTGAAGTTCCGAAAACTTTTCACTGTAGAAAATTCTGAACCTGTACATTTCAATATTAATTTGAAATTGCAATTGTTAATTTAGGCATTTGGCGATACAACACTTATAGAATTGAAGGACGATTACTAAACACTTATAGAATTGAATTACGTCAAGCGCTCAGGTATCATAATTTTGATCTAGTTGCGCTTCTATGTCATTTTGATTTATGTTGCTAAGTTAACTTTCAAAAAATTCTAAGGCTGGCAACAGTATTTTTGTTTTCTAAGTTGTTTATTTTTATTTCTTTTAGAATTCGTTCTATTTTTAGCGAAATGTTTTTTAACCTTACAAAATTCTTTGCCGACTGTTTTCTCTATAAATGAAGAAATTAAAGTGAATATTTAAGTGTTGTGAAAAAGAGAAGTGTTGTGAAGTGTTGTACAAAGTACTTCAGAAAAGCGCTTTCGACAAAATACTAAAATAGAGATCTATTACTCACTTCTGCCTAGCTTAATAGTATGAGATTGCCGCAGCTGAATTGAACAGCCTGATAATGCTCACTCTGGTTATTGTTTCCGTTTTTAAAAGCGCTATATGTTGAGCCACCTCGTCTAGATTTGCCATGTGACATTTTTAGTAGCAATCATTGGTCGCTTTTCTAACGTTGCCATTCGGGGAGTTGTAATGAGGCTTTTTTTTGGTGCCGTGTAAGAGAAATATATATATAGATGCTGAGGATAGATGAGGAAAAATATCACTGTACCGATTAAATGCATACTGGATCTTGAAAAGTATTGATATAGGGCATACCGTGAAGAGGCACACTTCACTAGACATAGTATATATTTCGGACATTTACCAAAGCGACTGTGTGATGGTCAACATTCACCCATTTCGATCATTTACTGCCACTACTCACAATTTTATAAATATGGGCAACCAAAGGAAAGGTGTAATTTTAGTTTTTAAATAAAATCGTGCGAAGCAAAACATTTAAAACTAGTGGGCTCCATACCCTGTTTTCTGCAGCTCACCAAACCACGAAGATAGCTATGCAATCTAATAGGGCTTGCTTTACACTAGAAAAGTGCTTTACACTTAGGCAAAGCTATAATTTACAACCCTATTTACCATCTTATCCCTTAAAATTATGTAATCTTTAAATTTGCCTAAATTGTTAAATATTTAAAAAGAATTGTTTTAAATTTCCAATTTGTGGAGTTCTTAAAATGAAATGAAATTCTCGATTAAATTATCTAATAGCGATGAAAATGAATAAATAATTCTTAATTTCTGCTAACTTTATGAACCTATTTAACAAATTATTCTTATTCCCTGAAAAGTGCGGTTTTTTTCTTTCTACCGACGTTTTTTTAAGATTAAGCAAAGAAGGTTGGCTAAAACTGGCCTAACAGTTTTACAAAAATAGCCTTAACAAATTTATAAATATAGCTTGTTATTAGCAGAAAGGCCTTATTTCCTTCCATCAGAAAAGGGATATTGAACTACGATTTAAACGAAATTTATTTATTAGTTGACTAAAAAATTATGTAAGAAAACTTTTAAATTTTATTTTATTTATTAAAATGCGTTGTATTGCACGGGTGCCAACTTTTAAAATTGAAAGTATTTATTACAAATTTCGTAACAAGGAGATCCGTTTTGTAAATTATCTGTGCACGGCCGATCGGGAAGATCTCCCGACTTGACGATGGATAGTAGTAGCTGTTAAGAAATGCACCGCGGCAACCTCAGACTACAGCACAATTCGTTCAGCCGTCTAAGTGTTTAAATTTACAACTTGGTAACCAAGTTCAATAGAACAAATTTCGAGAAATAAAATGAAACAAATATTTTCAAAACTATAGATTAATTGCCTAGTAGATAAGAAAACAGAACTAAAGAAGGGTGCTCCGTTATTTAGCTGGCAGCATTCAGGAAAGTGATGAAACAATTCAGAAAGAGAACCTTAGAACATGGAGCCACATACCACGTTGGGAGGGAGGAAATCGCCAACGAAAGTTTCAACGTCACTCTCGAAAGCAACTACAAATTCACTAACAACACAAAAATTTGTTTGTTTAATTTATTACTGAAGTTTTTCAAAGTTTCTTCCTCAAACATCTTTGCTCATTCTACAACGACGTAAAAACTATTCTCGAAGATGCCAGGTGTACTTTTGATGCTTGCCGAAGCAACGAGAATCCACGCTATGCGATCCTCCAGTGTAGCTTTCGTCTCTTCCAAATTCAGACACTGTATGAATTTCTTCCCCTTAACATGGTTGACAATCTCATGTCTCATTTTGTTTCCACAGTGGACTGATTGTAAAGACCCGGTTCCCAGTACAACACCGAAGACAAACATCACTGGCTGCGATCAGTAAGAGGGTGAGTGACCACTTTCATAAGCTTGCGTGAGAACCGAGGGTGTGCGGTATCGTTAAGCTGTTCTATTGTAAAGTGCTCGACTTCGCACACAGGTCATCGGGCTGCCAAAACAGGGAAGCCATCCCCTCTGCGGAGGATTAAAATTGGAATGGCATCTCTACGAATCATCATCAGAGATGTTTCCTAGACCGTTGCCAATAGCCTATTGTGCAGCACTAGGGCAGCTTAAATAAAGTACCTACCTACCTTTTATCTGCCCTATGAACTTGTTAGTCAATCTCGGAACAGCCTTCCTTATTTTTGATAGGTTACAGTGGAGGAATTTTTTAAAAATTCTATTAGAAGAGAACACTTAAACTTATGGCCCGTCCACGCTATGGAACATTCACAAAATTAAAGTTTATAAGTCTCTATTCCCCAAAAAAATGTTTCTAACGATTGGATGTCTGAAAGCGATGTCATCATGGGTATGGATCCGGATTGACAGTTGAAATGTGGCATTTGTTTATGTTAACAACTGTTCTTTCCATTCTATTTCGAATAAGCCTAGCCCGACAAATTGTGACACATTTCTTATTCTTTCATAAAAAAAGATTTAGTTCATTTTTTACTTAGCCTAAAAAACAGAAACAAAGCCATGTAAAAAAAAGTATTTATGGAATAAATTTGTCAGGTACAAAAAGCGAAACTAATGGCGGTTGCAATAAATGCACAAACAAATAACAAACCTAATTTAAATAAAAGGCGAAGGCAGGAAGAACATATTTTAACAAATTCGATTTGCCGACCAGTCTGTGTAGGGGGCAGGGAACTGTCCTTGCATCAGAAAGGTTCTGGGTTCGAATCCCGGGCAAGGCATGGATGTTTCTTTCCCTCTATCTGTGTTCTATGTCCTTTCTCCTTTGTGTGTGAATGTGTGAATGTGACCCGCCCTATAAACGGGTTGTGGTAGTGTGACGTGGGCGACGCTGTTCCACCGCCGTGGCTTCGCCACAGGTGCCCACTGGGTAACGAAAAGAGAATTAGCAGTTCTGGCACTTTCTGTGGCCAATGGACAATAGCTCCAAGTGCCCGCCATTAAAAAAAAAATTTGATTTGTATTACGGCGTTACACTTAGCTAACTTCACTGTCGCAGTTACAATTTTAGTGTTTTGTTACATTTAATCATTTATTTAATTATTTTCATCTCATTATTTTAAGTCGTTATTTACCCTTAATTTCATAAGTCTTAGCTTATGCGAAATTTGTCAGTGATCTTTTTTTTCTTAATTAAGTGAATTTTCTTAATTTGAACGTGAATATCAGGAATTTTTTTCTTGTCTCGTAAAATTTCCCTTCTCCTTCGGAAAAGAAACTTAATTTTTTATGACCTTCTTTGCGGTCATTGCACCCATGCCTGATATTAAATTTAAGGAAACGGATCCTCGTTTTGTTTTGCATTTAGTCACAATCCTAGGCTAAGTCATACATAGTTTATAAGTGTTTTCTTAAAAAAATCACAGACTGTAGGTGTTAATTTATTTCTGTTATTTTATTATTATTATTTTTTTAAAACTTTTATTTCGCCAGTCTTAACCTTCAGTTTTTAAATTTTCTACTCTTTGAGTTTTAATTGGATATAGCTTGTCTGGTGTCTTGTCCTAAAAATTTCTCAATCAGCTTCCTTTTTTAACTTTCTTTTCGAATATGCTTTAGGATGGCTTCTATTTTTTTTCGAGTTGCAGACTGTGGCTCGTATCGAGGAGATTTTTCCTTTTTTCATAACTTTTTCTTTTATATTATTGATAATTAGGTTATGATAAAATCAATCATTTTTTTCATAAAATTACTCAGTCCCTTTTCAGTAACTTAAATGTCGTCGTCTTTATACCTTTAAACGTTTCCTTAAGACTAAAATCCTTTCATCAACTACTTTCCGCAGTGCTAGTTTTGGCAACTAAGTGTCCCATTTATATCTATTCCTTTAATACCCTTAAAATCTTTCTATTACATATTATAAAATGTATTATGCTAGATTGAAAACTTTTTTTATGTAAATTTAAAAAGTACTCTCCCGTCCTATTTTAGATTAGAAGAAGAAGATTTTATATTAAAGGAAATTGCGCTCGGAAATTTTTTGAACTTTTTTAAATTTTTCTCAAAACTTTAAAGCAATAAAATAATGCGATGGGTAGTTTTGAGTAAATAATTTTAAATGACATGCTCCTCAGTTTTTAGATTTTTTAAAATTTAATTTTATAGCAGTTTTAACTGATGAAAACTGATTTGGGTGAAGCTAAAAAATTCTTTTTACGTTAATTGCATTAAAACAAC